TTTTTTTTTGGTTTTTCTCCGGTACCGGGAACCGAACTCACGACCTTGCGCTTGCCAGGCAGGCGCTTTGCCGGTGAGCTAAATCCCCAGCCCCGCTTCTTTTTTTTTTTGGTTGAGGCTAGGATTTCTTCACCTGTCCTCCGAACAAGATCAAAGACAGTGACCCTGAAGGAGTCATGATTCACAGCCTACATCTTTGCTGCCCGGCACACGTGGAGCACGGTCATCCTCAGAAGAGGACGGTTGCGTACCACCTGTGACCTGAGTTTCATTCGCTTTAGGGAGAGACAGGCCCTGCCCAGTGACCACCTGGAGGGACAGCAGGGGGCAGCTATTTCTCAGTGACTGGAAATGATGCTGCCCTGCCGGGTTTTACAGACAGCCCAATATCCCCAATCTGCACAGCTGGTCTTTGGTAGGTTTTCTCTCTGACTCTCTCTTTTCCCTCTATGAATAGATGAGGGCAAAACACCTGCCTTATAGCACTCAGCCAGCTCCCCTGCTACCTATCCGTCTCTAACGTTAGGAAGAGTAGCTTAGGTGACTGTATCACCTTCCTAAAATCTGAATTTCACTTCCTGTTTTCTGAGAGAAAATTAAAATGAAAACTAAAGCAAATAAAGAAAGGATATAGCCGGGTTCCTCGGGTCTGATGCTGTAGCCTTCTTCATCTAGCTCGGGCGAGTTCTACAAAACACAAGCGCACACAACAAGGACATTATCCCAGAGTGATGGAGGAATTATTTTGTTTTCTTTCTAGCATCATCTATTTGAGGATGTAAACAAGTCTCTCCTTTTTGTGGGCTAAGCCTTCAACTTTTGGGCAGTGCATCTTTAGATAGTTACCCAAAGAAATGCAGAGAACCCTTCTGCTCTGAAAAGAAGGGAGGAATTAGTTGTCATTGAGAAGTTTTACGCAGAGAGTTTATTTTGCCATTTCCTATAAGCCAGGAACTGTGCCCAGCAATGCAGGGATCAAAATGCAAATTATTTTTTCTTTGGGGAAACTGAAGTATATTTGAGTAGGCAAAAATCAAAACAAAAAACAACACAACACAAAACATCAAGCCTGTATCCCCTGCACTTAGGAAGGCTGAGGCAGGAGGATGGCAAGCTTGAGTCCCATGTGGGTGAGACCTAGGTGAAACTTTATCTCAAAATAAGACAATATTTAGAAAGGGTTGAGGATGTAGCTCAGTATTAGAGCGCTGTGGGGGCTCAATCACTAACTAGCACAGTGAACGAAACACAACACCCACAGACAGCAAAACAGCCCACAGGTGTTGACAGGAAGAGGAACTTAGTGACCTTTGAAGAGTCCCAGAAGGTCTCCACAGGAAGCTTTCCCCACTGCCTGGAGAGGGCAGAGTCAGAAGGGCCTGCAGCAGGCACCGAAGTGGTAAAAAAGAAAAAGCAGCTGAGCTGGGGAGGCCAGGCCGCCTGACCCTGGGTGGCGGCTCGGCCAGGCAGGCTTGTGGTCTCCAGCTAGGAGGTCTGACCCAGAGACACGGTGAGGACACGGGAGCAAGGATCACAACAGTGGACTCAGAGGCACAGGGGACAGGGAGAGGGACGCTTCCAGCAGAATCCCAGGTGTGTACCCTCTGGGCCTTGGAAACTGCGGGTCCTTCCAGCCGCTCCGGCCCTGATAACAGACATCTCGTACTTTTAAGAAAAAGGCAGGAATAGAAAAGGCCGCTTGGGGATTGGGCTTCCTAGCTCACATCCGAGTCCCCGCTGTGGGGTGAGAGCTGGGGCTCACACCCTGTCTCGCCAGAGGACAGACCAGCCTTCCGCAGCAAACGTTATCCCCATCACCTAGGGAGAACCCGGGGGAAGTCAGGGCCATTTCTCAGGGTCACACAGGGTCACACAGGGTCACACAGCAGACTGGGACTGCGCCCCAGCACAGCACCCCCTGAGACAAGGCCTTGCAGGCCCCAGGAGAGAGAGAGACGGGCCTCAGGAGGTGGCCCTGCCCAGGTTCAGTTTGTAGGCCTGGCAGAGAGAGGATGGGGCCGAGGGAAGTATCACAGTCACTAGGACAATGACAATGGCCTGACCATGGAGAAAGAACAGGCTTTAGATCCCATGGAAAAAGCAGATTTTTTTTTTTTTGTCTTTTTGAGACAAGGTCTCATCATGCAGTTCAGGCTGAATTTGAAGTCACTGGGTAACCCAGGCTGGCCTTGAACTCTTGGCCTGCCTCAGCCTCCTGAGTGCTGGGATAACAGGCATGCCCCACCATGCCTGGCTTAGGCCATCAGTTTTTAAAATTATTTTTTATTGCATCCATTTAAGGAGTACTTGATATTTTGAGGTACAGACAGAGACTGAATTACTACAGTCCAATTCACACTCCATCCTTTCAGTTACCTTTTGAGTGTGTGTATGCGCGTGCATGCATGTGGCATCTAAAATCTACTCTTTTAGCAAGTTCTCAGTATTCGATGCAACACCATTTACGATAGCCTGCGAGGCACACAAGTGATATCCAGGCGCATTTGCCCCACTTCTCTGTGAGTGTATACCCTGTGACCTGCTGCTGCCCTGGTAACTACCCTTCTGTTTCTCTCTAATTGAGTTTTAGAACAGAATCTGCATTTAAATGAGATCATGGTGTTTTCCTGTGTCGGAAAGCTACCAGGTTTGGACCATTTATTGTGATCTCTGTTGTCTTGCTTCTGGAGGACTCAGAATTACTCTTTTTTTTTTCTTTTAAATACAAGTGTTCTGAGGTCATTTCCCTGCCAAAAACCTGTTGTGGAGAATAAAGCCCAGCACCTGGGGAGCCCACCAGGATCCTCCCCTTCTCTTTGTGCTCAAGGGAATGATTTTTTCCTTGATTTTCCTTGAGCTGTACATTCTCATTGTGAACTTCTGCTTCCCTTCCTCTCCCCTCCCTCCCTCACCCTGCAATACTGGGGATTGAACTAGCGCTGAGCTACATCCCCAGTTTAAAAAAAATTCCTATTTTGAGATGGTGACTCTCTGAGTTGCTCAGGCTGGGCTTGAACTTGAGATCCTCTTGCCTCAGCCTCTGAGAATGCCAGCATTACAGGACTGCGCCACCATGCTTGGGTCCCGTGATGAACTTTTACCATTTGAATATTGCAGCACTGTCTCACGCAGGGTCGTCATGAATGCCATCCTGCCTGCATGGACCTCCCTTCCCTCAAATGCACAGCTGGCTCACCCCTTCTTATGTTTAGGCCTTTGCTTAAAAGCTCACATTCTTCCTGAGACTTTCTTACCAGCATGAGGAAGGTGTCAAGAATCAAATTCTTCTTATTACTTAGAAAAATTAGTATTTACTGCATAAGTACAAGAATCTCCACATGACCTTGTTTGAAGGCTAAACCAATTTGAAGGAAGTTATGCTTCATTTAAACACGTCATGACAAGGGGTAGCACTAGAGTTTAGGGTTTTTATGGTAGATGGGAAGCTATCTGTAGCATTGGACGAACAATTTGATATTTAATGATCATTCTTCCTTTTGGCTTAGAGTTTACTGTTCTTGTGTTTTATAGAATCCTGTAAAATACAACAAAATCTTTCTAGGTAAAGAAGAATTGATTTTGAGAAAAGAAATCCCTCTTCCTATCTAGGACCTTCTCTTACACATTCAGATTATGTGAATAATCTTAAGTTAAATTGGGGGCTAGTAAACATTCTAGGGGAGTGAAGTGCTCAAAATATCACAAGGACCTCGGTCTTGGGAGATGGGCCTGTGAGAAGACAGGTAGTGCATTGGCAGAGCGACGTGTGTGAACTGCAGAGCTGGCAAACATGAAGAGTTTCACCCCTCTCAGCCTCATTTTCCACACAGGACGCTTAATGTAGGGTTTTTCTTTTCAGGAGGAAAGGATTTAGTAGCATATACTATTATAACTGACATTGAATATGCAATAAGTGATATCAATTATTACAAAAACAAAAGTCTTACTAACAACTATGCCAAAGCTTTAATTTTTTTTGTGAAAGAGAGTGTTGGGCCAGGACAGTTAACTAAAGGCTAAGAGCAAAAGCGTTCTGTGGGGTCCTGAATTTGAGTATTTAACACGGAGCAGATGCAACCTTCCAGGCAGAAACCTTTGCCTTGCTCATTATGACAGACAACCCTTGAGCGATCATGGCTGGGTCCAGCGGGAGGAGCTGTTGTGGTTGGTGAGTGTGTGGTGGTGATGGGAGTCAGCTTTGCGGGGAATTACTAGGACCGTATAGGTCTTGCTCTCCCTGGGAAGCTCCATGTGACTTTTTGACCTGGGAAAAGTCGGTACCATGAAGCTGTCGTGGTCGGTACAGAACGAAGGCTCCGTGGTTAGTGGACTTACCTCCACTCTCCCAGCTGCTTAGAAACAGAACCTGGGCAGCAACACCCAGAGTTGTTATTATTAGAAAAAGCATGTTTGAGCGCAGCCTGGGCCAGGTATGCTCTGACCTGTTCTGAGAACAGTGAGCTCACTGGGTCCTTGCCACAATAATATAAACTACTGTACCAATTCCACTTTTGTTGGGAAGTAACTACTATAAAGCTTCAGCAAAGAACTATTCTAAAGCTGCATAGAGCTAATACATGGGCAGGGAGGTCTTCAACCTAGGTCTGACTACTCTAGTGTTCCCAATCTCCCACACTTCCTAAAAGATGGAAAGTCTCTCATGGAGTTCACTTTTCTGTTTGTCTTACGATAAATCTCAGTACCTCGATTCATTTCTAAGTTATCCAGTACTTGATAAAGGGGACAACGTTTTGATACTCACATATCTTTCCCAATCGATTTCTGCGTAAAATCCATTTGGTGCGCCATTGCTTTTCTTCTGTAATAAATTTCAGAATAAATTCAGGACAGAAATATTTAAATGAAAACAAAACAAATAACAGAACAAAAGCCACTGAAGTCTTATCTGTATTTAACAAGAGCTAACAAAATCCAGCACTGGAATGACAAATGGGAACAGCCTAGTATGAAACCACACTGGGGTAATAAATGGAATGTCCTGCTGTATGATGCTGAATTAAAAACGTACACACTCCCTTCTCGAAGCCTGTAGGGTACCTAGGCAGAGAGCTATTGAGGACCAGAGGATCAAGCTTTATTTAATTATGTAGGAATTAACAACACCTGCATAATAATTTAATCCTCTATACCTTCAGGGGACATAACCACATCTGTCTCTATCTCCGTCTCTATCTCTATCTCTGTATGTATATATTAAATGGAAACATCTTGACTTCTTTGTTGCTCTCAGATACAACTAATTCCAGTATATCCAAAGACTGTTCCCCCAAGCTATTAACTAATCTTTTAGCATTTCAAACACTGACTCAATTTTTTTTCTACCCACCAGATAAAATACAACGAAGTCATCTTTACATTAGTTTATTCACTGTCTCATTATTACAACTATTGTTGATATTCCTTCCAACTGGCAGTTTCTCATCAAGTTATTAAAATAGAGTGGAAGGATTCACGGTGGGTTTCCCTTGCCCATGTGTCCCTTGCCTCCCTGAGCCCATGCCTTTGTGAGTAGATTAGAAATTGGCGTTATTCTATCTTTTGATTACCTTCAAGTTTTACTTTGGCTCTTGATTATCTTACGGTTTTATTTAAAGATTTTCCAGAGAAGAAATTTATCTTACACTATAATCATGACATATGACCACGAACAAGTGAACAAAGAACACCCACATGAAAATTGCTATGATTTCCTATTTTTCATGAACAAAGGACAGAAACATAAATCGCGTTGGCCATGGAGAGTCCATCCTGTGGCACCCTCACACGGACTACACAGACTGATGCATGCCGCCACACAGCGAACCCCAGGACAACACAGATTGAGTGCTGGTGTGCCAGGCTTGAGGACAGGACTTCTGATTCTGCAATCATGAACAGAGGCCCCCTGAACTTCGGTGTAAGTGGCTAACACTCAACTTGACAAAAAGGTGGGGAGGGAGCTTTTGCAAGAGGCTCTTTAGCTAAGACTTCCTCAATGTTACCTGGGCATGCAAAGAGCTGGCAGGGGGCTAGCAAGGCGACAGCGCACAAGGGGTGGTGAGTACATGGACGGCCCCTCTCTTTCTATGATGCCTCTGCATGCAAGTTACAAATGTGGAAAACCCACTCATGTGTCCAGAGACGCCTGCACCCCAGAGACGTAAGCACAGGCCTGTGCTTCTCTCCCTGTTTGCTCTGCTGCAGTCAAATGTTATGTAACCCCCAGCTACTCACTTTGATCACCATAGAGTTACTGCTTCAAACTGATGTTTCAGGGATATTCTTTCTACTTTATTCACAGATACTTTTAAAAAACTACCACATCAACTCTGCACATATTCATTTTATGAAGCTACTGTTGAGAACATAATCTGTTTAATAATAGATCATGTAATAATAAAAAGTCTTCTTTTCCCTGGAAATAGGCATCTTTCGTATTTTTTGTCATGTTTGTTCTCTTTTTAAATTCCTCCTTTATTGACCTTTTTGTGTATGATTTCATTGCAAACTGCACTGACTCCTTCATAGGAAGCATGTGTAATACAGCTCAATATAAAATTTAATTTATAACAATCAGGAAGCAAGGAAATTAAGCTGATTCCAGAGGAGTAAATTTATGAATTTTGTGATCAGCACAGTACTGCTATCATTACGCTTTTCATTTTCGAATAATTGCTTAATTCAAAGCACTGCCATCTAAAAACTAAATTGAATTGCTGAATGCAAAAATTTCAAAGTTCTACAGCTTGTTTCCATGATAATATCATTAAAGCCCTTTATAAATAAGGTAGTCTATATATTTAGCTGAACAAATTATATATGTGCATGTCTATGTGTATGTATGTGAATATCCATACAATCTTTAGTATATATCTAACACTGTATATAAAGAAATTCCTGAATTTTTACATTTGGGCTGAGTGAAAATTTTCATTTCTATGGAAACTAATAGAAGGTTGAGATAAAGGAAAAGCAAAACCTATATAAAATTTTTCTTTTAAGAGAGAAACATTTTACAAATACTAAGCACAAACAATAAGTCATAACAATACATTCTTTTTAGGAGATGTGCAGCACACACACACACGCGCACACACACACATACACACACAAACATTTGGTTTTCTTAGCAAAATTGGCAGTTTGGCCTCGTTCATTTGTGTACTCTTACAAACATCTTTGGTTTCACAAGGGGAAACTGTTAGAGCTAGGCTTAGCCTAGGGAATTATTCTTGTTAAATCCCAAGGAAAAATTATTTCGTTCACACTCCGAGCAAGGCACATCTTCAGTTGCAGTACACTGAAGGTAAAAACTTCGAAGAGAAAGCGGGCGGAACACTGTGGGGGCTGGGGGGTCTTTGAACAGCTAGGCCTGATGATGAAAGCAACGTGAGTCGTTCACGCATGTGTGAAGCAGTGATCTTTTTTCTCTTGAAATTGGAGTAGTACATTCTTTTACTTCTCCTATTTCTGTACTTTCTATAATTCTATGCCTAGCCTAAGGAACCTTTACCCATTGGATACCTGACTGTAATTTAAAGATAACTGAGGCTCATGGGTAATGTTATTTTTTAATGGGTATTTTATTTGGTTAGTCTTAAATTGTATATTATCTATTCTCAGATAATATGATGAGCTAAACTGACAAATGTAGTAACAATGGTGTCCAATTACACATTCATCCAAGTTCTCAGTTTCCACTGTAAATGGCCACTCTTTTCCGAGTTCAGCTCATGGCTTCGTAGGAGCCCTAGGGTGGGAAGTGTTAAAGACACCTGATATATTGCCCAAACAGTATCTTTACCACGGTAGCCTGAAATCATTTTGTGAATGATGCTGTAGAATAGTACTGTCCATGGGAACTGAGAAGATGGAACTGTTCCAATGACGTGCTATCCAATATGGTAGCCACTAGGGATGAGTGACTAAGGGATACTTAAAAGGTGGTAAGTGTGGCCAGGACTGAATTTTAACTAGTCATATTGGCTCCCACGTTGGGTAACGCAGCTGTAGGTACAGCCAGGCCCAGGTGCTGCTTCCCTGATTCTCCATCCCTTGGTCAAGAACACAGTTTCCACAGACTAAGGTCCTGGCAAATTCTTGAGATGACTGACAGAGCGCTTATCCTAGCCAATGACGCTACTCAATGTTTACATGATAGCCGAAGCCTTCTTTATAACAGCAGATTCTTTTTAAAATTTGAATCTTTGTTTTTTGTCCAAGACGAACAAAACAAGAGTTCTTCTTTTTTAAATGCCTGATCAGTGTTTAAAAGAATATTTGGATGACAGTACATAGATGTTTATGATTGATTTAAAAGTCAGCCCCTGGTACTCAAGAAATAATTTGGAAATCCCTAAGAAAGACTCCTCTTATAAGGAGGGTGAATAATAAAAGCTACGGTGTTTTCCAAATTCCAGACTGGGATTTTACTCACTGTCTCTACAACCCCTTGGAAATTTTAAACTGAAATCTGTTTCCTTACCGAAACTTTTTTTGCTCCTTCACGCGCACACTCTGCTTTGTTACTGTAGGGTGGCTCATGTGGGCTGGGCTGCTGGAATTGATTGTTTTCATGTAGAAAAAAGTTGTTAAAGGATCTGTTTGTTCTTCAAGACACATATAAAGAATCACATGGAGTCAGCAAACATACCATAGAAGAAACAATTTCTAGGCCAAATTGTACGGCCTACCGATCTCGGCAGGATTCCTTCCGCAAGGAGGGTTTGGGGGCCCATAACGAGGCTCTATTCAGCAGGCCAGGGAGGAAGGGTGGAGGGGGAAGATGGGTCCCAGCACGGGACCCTGTGGATCTAGTCCTCACTCAGCCAGTATTTCGTTTACAAGTAGAGAACAGACACCAAGACAACAAGCAGAGACCGAATAGAAACAGCTGAGCTCCTGATCTAAGTGTGAAGGTTAAGCTCCGCCTTGCTTTCCCCATCCAAGCTTTCCTCGGGGGGAGGGTCCCTGATGCCTAGAGCACACCCAGCTGACAGCCCCAAATCTGTGTCTTCCCTGCTGGCCTGTCCAGGAGGAGCAGATAAGAGGCCCTCACAGTGAGAGCTGGGACGCCCAAACTTCTGTTCATTTGCGGAGGGAAATCAGAATGGCTTAGGAGAAAGTTCCAGTGTACGTTGGGCAAATCCGAGTTTGCCCTGGGTTAAAGTGTGAGCTACAGCCTGCTGCCTGAAGTCCTGACGTGGGGATGGACAGTTCTGCCAGCCATGGGTACATCAGGGGTAGACAGCAAGACCTGCACAAGCAGCCCTACCAGGAAGCCCCCGGTGACTGAACACAACACCCTCAGAGGTGGGCTGCAAGGATTTTGAGAAAGTGAAATTTTTTTTTTTTTTTTTTTTTCCGGTAACGGGGATCGAATTCAGGACCTTGCACTTGCCAGGCAGGTGCTTATGCCACTGAGCTATATTCCCAGCCCCAAGAAAGTGAAATTAAGTTAGCCACACCTCGCGAGAGCTTTCATGCCCACTGTGTGGGCACTAGTCGGGTCTACACTGTCCGCGCTTTGCAGAATCACATGCATGAAACTGCAACTTCAGACATCCGACCTGCAGTCCTTGACGCTACCTCAGCCATACAAAAGGGACCACGCAGCAGATAGGTTGCCAGGAATCAGTGTTGAGTTTGAGAGACAATCAGGTTGTGATTTCTAAGGACTGAATAAAACCAGAAACTTGGATCTAGCCAGACTGTGCTGGGTTTCAAACTGCCACGACCAGGTTTGGGGGTAAAACAACGTTTTCAAGCTAAGTCACCGTTTCTAATTACCAGTGAGGCCATCTACCCTCTTTCTGAGAAAATGCAACCATTTCCAAGGCAGCTTTCCAAACAGTTCTGCTTTCTGTCCTGAGAAACCGAAATTAATCACTCTTCTCTTCCACTGACCAGAACCAGGACTCTAAGGGTGTTTCTCATTAGGGAGCACAGAGGCGGCAGCTGCCGAGGAGCAGCTCCGGGAGGTTGGGAGCGCTGTCGGGAGGGAGCGCACAGGGGACCGGCTGGAAGCCGTGGCCTCAGGAGGATGAGTCCCCGGAGGGTCCCTGGTCACCTGTCCCTGCCAGCTGCCACATCAGGGGTCAAGGCGAGTGTCCACCAGAGGTTTAAACGGGTCCCCCAAAAGCAGAAGACAGAGGTAGCGATGGGGCCTCAGAGACAACGAGCAGCGGGGAGCGGGGCGTGGAGGAAGGGCATGGGGAGACACGGATGGGGCACAGCCAGGGGTCTGGTCCGGCCCGGCGTGGCCAGGAGGGACACTGAGGAGCCCGCGGGCCTCGCAGAGGCGGGGACGGGGGACGGGAGGACCGGGGCGCCGGCGGCGGGAGCAGACACGGAGGCAGAGAGTACCTGAGACAGAGTTAAGGAGAGGGCTCTGAGCCAGAAGCAAGAGCGGAGGAGAAGCTGGGTCTTCTGGGTCTTTTTTTTCCCCTGCTGAATAGAGCCTTGATTATAGTGTTACCCACCGTCCGGGCAATTTCAGTCTACTCCGCAACACTTCGCAGGGAGAACCGCGGGCGGCTGCCTAAGGACCTGACTCCGGTGTGGGGGAACCTCCTGCTACAGCTTTGGTAGCACCCCGCCCCCAATGTAGGGATACTACTATAAAGGGTGAGTTTTTTGAAGAATAAATATTTTTAATCACCAGGTTTTAGTTCCCACGCCTGCCCAGACAGGCTAATATGAGTTCATTTCTTTTCCTCCAGTAACAGCTGTTCCTTTAAGCCCTGTGAATAGGCTTCTGATTTAGATGGGAAGGAAGCCGCTCTGGAAGTTGGGGGCAGAATCCCATAGGCCCGTATACCACAGACGTCTTCAAAAAGCAGGCAATCTGACAGCCAGGAGGGACTCAGAGCTCCTGTTAAATCCAAGCCCAATGGACATATTTCCCTCCTTTGGGCTGTAAATTCAGGCATAAATGGTTTTAAGACCATTCCCTATTTTTGAATTTAATATAGAAAATGTATCTGCAGCCCAGCTACGCAAGGGGAAAAGCTCTTTCAATTTTATTAGCTCCTGGCTCCTTTATGACTGCAGCCTCAGTTGGAGGAAAACATTCTCACGTAATGAGCGTTTTACAGCCTTAGATTGGAGACGGAACAACAGCGATGCCAGCAGCCGCTGCATGCACTGTCTGGCTTCTGACCCATCCTCTGCACGCCTAGTTTACCTCCTGCTCCCAGGCAGGGGGTGCGGAAGAACACAATAAAGAAGACCTGCTTCACCAAGACTACATTTTGTCCCATGCAATGATGGTCTGAAAAACCACCCAATCTATTATATGTTTTTTTTTTTTTTCCCTACAGGAGGAAAAAAATAAAAAGTAATGGGGCTGTAAGCAATTGAAATAGCATATGTTAAGTGCAAACCCGCTAAAAGGGTTATTTAAATACTTACAATTCCATCTCGATCGGGGGAACCTCTGTAACAGAAAGAAATTGATGGCATTTATGAAGATCAATCATTCTTGCTTCACAGCTGAAACTATCACAGAAAGAATCATTAACCACCACCCTCCAGCCCTCCCCCGTGCTCCCACCCAGGAAGCCTGGCCGGGGAGAACTGCATAAAACAAGTAATCTGTAAGATACTCCATATTTGAACACTAAAGAGTCTGGCCCGTCTAGCTGGCTCTGTTAACACTAACACAGGCGGGACAAACCGATTTCTTCTTTCTTATTCCCGCACTCCATCAGTGCTCCTAAGCTGTCTCTTACAATCAGAACTTTCCTGGTGTTTGTTTTCAACTTATTTTGAGATTCTGTACCGTCTTCCGAATTCTTATATTTGTGTTTCCTTCAATTGTAGAAGCACAGCAGAAAGTGATATCTGCTAGATGATGCCCTCAGGTGGAACGTGTGGTTCCAGAATCACCGAGCTGCAATAGCACTAGCAGGTAGCAGTTGGGGTCAGTGGCTCTTGAGGAAGATGAATCTGGTGGTCTGGACCTCAACACTGCATGGCTCTGCTACCTTGAACATGTTCCCCAGCCCCTGCAGGCCAGGATAACCGACATGACGAACTTATGATGCTTTCTGACATATGCTAAGTGATCAAAAGCAGAGCTGACTATAAGTTCTTTTCTCTTCTATGATGTCTCTTCACACTTGGTGGTAGAGCCACGTAGGAGGGGGATTTTCATCGTTACTTTAGGGAACTACACTGGCTACCATTGTCAGCTGGAAACTCCCAATTTTAATTCACTCTGCAGGGGTCTGAAAAATGTTATGCTATAACAAAGAACCAGAATTATGCTTGAAGAGGGAGCAGTATTGTTGATAAGACAATTTCAATCAGTGCTTGGGGTGGCTTGTGACACCTCTCGGAGTTCGGTAGGGTTGGAACTGTTCTTCAGGAGGCAGACCGGGTAAGGAAATTCATTCCTGCTTCCTAGGGTGGGGGCCTACAGCAGGAGACAGGAAGTGGTGGGGAGGAAGAGAGAAATGCAGAGCTGGGATGGCATCTGGACTTGCAGATGATCAATGCAGAGGCACTAGTTTGTGAATGTGCATCTGGCTCCAAATGCTATTTTCTGCATGGCCTTCAGCAAGTACTGAGCCTCTTCGGCACTGATTTCTCATCTCTGCAACTGAGATATTACTACTGGGCTTATTGAATTACTGCAAGGATTAGAAAGGATATCAGCGCAGCAAAATATGTCACCCAGCACTGCCGCTCAGCTCGGGCTCTGTCCCTCCCCTCTCCATCAGCCTCTGTGACAGTGATCAAATCAGGAAGCTCTGGTCCTTACCTGCCTTCTCCAGGGAGGCTCAGTCAGCGGAAGTGGGTCCCTAACACGTTGCTTAGCAACCCCAAACCTTGTGCAACAGCCCTGAAAACAGTTTTCATCAACCAGGTCTCAATGACTGCAGAATCCTGTCTGCAGTAACCGAAGGTGAAGGCCAGCCAACCGCCGGAGCATTTTACCAACCTCTTTGTGATTATGACTCCTTTTCCAAAAATGCTGTGCGACCCAGTGAGAGAGGAGGGGCTTCATGAAAAACAAAGACTTCTACAAAGCATCTTGTTCTTTGACCCTTGCTGCTGGGGGAGCCAGTGTACAGCTAAATTGCTGTCACATAAGTGATGTGGGCACTCAGAGGTAAGAGGGTAAGGAGAGGTACTCAGGACTCCTCAAGTAAATGTCTGCTGAGAGGGCCACAAGGCGAAACTAGGCATCTGCCCAAGACCATGAGGAATAACTTATTTATTTTCATGGCTTTAGAAATGGTGACAGAAAAACAGTGCTTTAGCTGCGTGTAGATTAACTCAGCCTGCCCTGGGGAGGCTACTCTCTTTCTTTCTTTCTTTCTTTCTTATTTATTTATTTATTTATTTATTTATCTATTTATCTATTTATCTATTTATCTATTTATCTATTTATCTACTTATTTATATTTTGAGACAAGATCTTGCTATGTAGTCTAGGCTGGTTTCAAACTTGCAGGAATTCTCCTGTCTCAGCCTCCCAAGTGTTGGACTTACAGGCATGTAGTTAGAGGCTTCTGTTTTTCTTTAGAGAGAGGTTTATGGATTTTTTAGCTTTTTTCACACTCCAGAAATCTCTAGAGCAGTTACTGACACTGTCTTTCTAAAATGATGGACTGGCTTCCGTTAGGATGTGCTGGGTGTAAGCAACAGCATCCCACGCTACATGCGGCATGCTGCTGGCATCAGCAGATGTTGCTAGCAGACTGGTTGGTACAGTGCCTGGCCCTTTAGGCAAAGTAGGTTCCAGTGAATGTAAACTTTTTGTCGGTGAGGAAACTGAGGCCAAGCAAAGCAAAATATAGTTTCTAAGACCATGTTGTTATCGTCAGAGTCAGCACAAGAGCCCAGGTTTTCCAGCACTAGCCAGGGGACATCAGGTATTCTAGGTTAATGCACAGAAAATGTCACATTTACTAAGAAATGCTGTAAATTGTAGAAAACCGTTTCTAACTCAATCTTTGTTTTTTGGTTTTTTTTTTTTTTTTTTGGTTTTTCTCTGGTACCGGGAACCGAACTCACGACCTTGCGCTTGCCAGGCAGGCGCTTTGCCACTGAGCTAAATTCCCAGCCCCTCTAACTCAATCTTTTAGGAAAATTGTTAGGACCGCAGTAAATATAATTTCCACAAAATATTTACAAAATGGAAAAACAATCACAAACAAACATAACAAAGAAAGACTTCTAATATGTGCCCTCTAGATGAAATAAGTAGCTCCCATCTCCCCAATCCATTGCAGTCTATGGCTGAAAAACTTCTAGGGTGTCAAGGTGACCCCTGCTGAAGGAAGGAAACTCAGGCAGGTCATCCTGGTGTTAAGGTTCGCCTGCCTGGCCCTTACGTCACTTCCTTTCAACTTTGCTTCTCATGTCACCTTTTCCTGCAGCCCCGGGGGGAGGGTCACGCTGCACCCCTCAACTCCTCCTCATGCCCCCTCAACTTTCCTACCTCCCTGTACCTTGGTCTTGTTGGCCCCCAACAAGAAAATTTGGATTTCGTATGCATGAAATCCACATCTCTGTTCTTGAAAACCTAGGTCAAGGCTCCCCCTGTCCTAAGCATCACAGTCATCCTAAACACGGGAACACTCCTCGCCTTCTCATTCTCATGAAATTCCTTCTCACAGGGGACACACTACTATCAGTTCATATCAGTAATAATAAGAATAGTAGCAGGGACCATGTACTGAGTGTTAACATAGAGGACCACAGGAAACATTTCAAATGTGTGCTCTCCTTCAGTTGTATGGAAGAGATTAATGTGTGTAGTGTTTTGTCCCATGAATTATGAGTTCACAGAGGACAGAGATGCAGGGCAGTGGCAAGTACCTTGGGATCAGGTTTCTGCTTCATAAAAATGCACAGAATGAAAAGCTAAAGCTCTGTGCCTACACAGCTTTCTGATGTTTAGGGCTCCTAATTAAAGGAGGGGTTTAGTGGGCTCCATTCTGATACACAGCAGACCCTCCCAGGCCTGCATTTTCACCCAGCCATATCTGGGTGAGGCTCATCTCCTGATACTGGTTTTGAGCTGGAATTTTGAGTTCCTGGTCTGCTAACTTCATGTACTGAAGCTACCTGTCTGGCTCAAAAAGGCACCTGAGAATATTGTCAGGCCTTTTTTTTTTTTTTTTTTTTTTTTTTTGAGATAGGGTCTTGCTATGTAGTTCAGGCTGGCCTTGAACTCACTGTGTAGTGCAGACTAGCCTCAAACTCACCCTGATCTCGGCAGGATTCCTTCCGCAAGGAGGGTTTGGGGGCCCATAATGAGGCTCTATTCAGCAGGTCAGGGAGGAAGGGTGGACGGGGAAGACGAGTCCCAGCACGGGACCCTGTGGATCTAGTCCTCACTCAGCCAGTATTTCGTTTCCAAGTAGAGTACAGACACCAAGACAACAAGCAGAGACCGAATAGAAACAGCTGTGTTCCTGATCTAAGTGTGAAGGTTAAGCTCCGCCTTGCTTAACATTCTCCTGCCTCAGCCTCCAGAGTGCTGGGATTACCGGCATTGTGCCACCATGCTAGGCTCCCAACCAAATATTTCTGAAGGAGAATTCAAAATGATCAAATAAGTAGAATGAATTATAACAAAGCTGTAATGCTATTGACATTTTAGAGGGGCTCTTGTCCATAGGCAATTGCATGAGATCAATTAAGCCCCCTTCTGCCACTGATCTCTTATTTGAGGCCAGAGAGTCCGTCATTGATGTGAACTCTGCCAGGTGACTTACAATTCTGTTTGTACAAAATCTTGGCATCTCAAGGAAGAGCTTTGGGATATTATCCAGTAGACATCTCTGTTTTTAGCGAGGGCTAATTTACCTAAACAGGTGATCTGCTCTTTCTTCAGTTCAGATGTCCTAGGAGCAATGCTAAGAAGTGGAAATGAATATCTTTAGTCCTCTACCCTAAAGTAACTGTCTCACTTTTGCCTCCTAAGACTGCTGGAAAGTATAGGCATCAGGTAGTAAAAAATAGCACATCCTGACAATCTGAATATGATGAAGAGCTATACTTTTCAGTACAGACCCAACAGGATTTATGCAGAGCAACCATAGTTACCCAGAAATGAGGTGAACACAGAGAGTACTTGATATTCAGGGAAATCTTTAAGTGACAGTGACAACTGCTCTTAGGAAATAGCGTGTTGGAGGAGGCAGAGTACATACGTAGAGTCAGTATCCTTCTCTTTCTTCCGTATTCCAAAGGCCTTCCTTGTACGTTTTTTCAATCCTGTGGGAAAACAGCAAAGGGTCAAAGAAATCTATTCACACACACCAGTGGGCATATTTAGAAATTTGCAGCACAGCTGTGAAACGCCCACGTTCAGAAGCAACGGAAGCTTCTTCAGTTGTGAACTGATGTCTGCGTACACCTGTGTGCATGGCTTATGACGGTGTGTCTCAGCAGATGTTTAGCCAGGACTTGGCACTGGGGGTGCAGCACCATAAGCGCCATGAGGAGGTACGGGTATGGAGAAGGCTGCAAGCTTTTCTTAGACAACTATTACTCATCCCCCAAATCGAGGCTCTGCCAAGGGAGTGAATCACAGAGTTAGAATAGCCATTCGCAGGCTGGACACAGTCTTGAGAGTGGGAAAACACCGAGACACCGATCACGTGTGGCATGTACGCCAAGAGAGCTACACCTAGCTGGCATAGCTCTGCGCCCGGGACTCCCAGCTCACCTTCTTGCCTGCCTTCAACTCCATGGCTGGACGGGATCATCAACCATTCTCTAGCATCAGCCAAGACTGCTACTCCTCGGGTGGTCCTTGCCCCTGGCTGGAATGCTTTGTCTGTTTTATCGACATTTGGAATTTCCACTCATCCCTGAAGGGCCAGGTACTCTGGGAGGGCCTCTGAATCCTAGGAGGGCAAGATGCTGACCACTCGGGGTTCCCCCCCAATGTTGCTTCACCTGTATTATAATATTTCAAATGCTAACCCTCATTATTTACTACGCCAGTTTCCTTAGGGGGCTGCAACTCTCTCTAGGACAGAGACCAATGCCTTCCTATTTGGATGTTCCCAACAGCCTGTGCAGGTATCAGGTAATATTCGTTGGTTAAAACTCTGCTCCAAGAAGTACCGTTCAGTGGCAGTGGGGTAAGAAGGGTGCTTTCTTCTGTCCTCATAACCCGAGCTCAGTCCTGGGTCTTCTCTTCACCCCATCACTCCTGACTGGGAGTGCCGCCTCCTGCCTGCCTCGTCGGGGTGCCTGGGGTTTTGGTTTCTTGTTAGCGAGTGTTGTTTAAAGTTACCTAATGCCTATCTAGTCAAAGCCTTAGGCTTGGTGCTGGGTGGTTTGGCACGTTGTCTTGGGAAATAGAGCTAGAAAAAGGCACCGATGTTTTAAAATTTGTTTGGCACTGCCAGGTGGAACAAAGGGAAAAACACTGCGAAAGTCGGTGATTTGATGACACCTTCTTCCAAAACATGTGAGTCAGCCCAAGCCACTTGGCTGATCTGAGTCACTCGCTATCTGCCTCTTAGGATACGACTCAAATACACTCTCCCAAATGTCTCCGTGCATCTAATTTGGCATTTTAACACTCATTCCAGTTAAGACATTTAGGTCTTTAAAATGTCAATGTTTTGTTTTATTTTGCTTTTTTAAAAAAATTCTCTTCCCACATAAAACCATTCTCTATTACTCTTCCCAAGATGAGTTTATAGGAAAACTTACTGACATTTAAAACTATCTGCCCATAATATTTAGGAACACTTTCTCCTTATCATTTTTAATTTTGTTTTTCTTGGTTCTTCTCTATCACCTCTAGTTGTCCTGTTTCCTTATAGGAACAAATATCACAGTTATGCAATCAACATTTTCCCCTGAGCTTCCCGTCTCCTGCTCAGCTTCCCTATGTTTGCCATTCAGCTTTGGGTTCATAGTGTTATCTTCATGAATTACCACTGGTGATTTTGAAATCATAAAATGAATGTTATTACTGTGTCTCAAGTACATTCATTTCCTGTAGCTCAGTCTGTCAGAGACAGCACACCCTACCAAACAGATCAGAAAATACACACAAATTCTATTATTTGTTATAGCAAGTGAATAGCAGATCAAGCAGTAGCAGTTTTCCATAGGCCTTGCCCTGTTTTTGACCATAATATTTGGACAACAGCCAATATGAACTAGGTCATGAGCGTCATGAGCTGTCCATTTCCCAGCCAAAAGTGCTCTGGATCAGGAACTGGGGACATAGAGTCCATTCCTAGCATCATTTATAATTGCTTAGCTTAATACAAGTCACATTTTCTCTGTGTTTCTATCCTTCAGTCTACCAAATCAGCCAATATAAGAGATGGAAGACTTTGCACACACACACAAAATGCTGTGTGTGCCACTCTATAACTTCGGTTTCACAGAAAATCATGCTTCCATTACACAGAATACAATTATACATGCAAGATAAATAAGAATACACCAAAAATATAAAACTCCAGGAAAAAAAATGAATCAAGTTGTTGAATAAGAAGAAGCATGGAGGAATTTTCCACTGTGAAAAGTGGAAAGATTTGAGAAGTTTATGAAAATATGAAGGAAGCGCTGAAAGATTATATACAGGAAATTTTTTAAAAAGAGTTTCACATCTTATGAGATCTTTTCGAAGATCCAAGAAGAAACAATCACATCAGCTATGTTAAAAATGCATGGAGAGGCATGAGTCTGTCTTTTGAGAGTTTAGAAAAAGTGTTCAAACTTTCAAAAGAGAGAAATGAGAGTCAAGAACATTCTAGGAATAACATGTTTAAGTCTCCATATCTGATAACCTGTTTCAGAACAAAAGGACAAAAACTCTCTCCAGTTTTTGTTCTACTTTTGATTCCATAACTCTATGAAGATTTTAAAGTTAATTTCCATGGTAAAATTGTTTCCAGGGTGGGGCATGAACCTCGGTCAAGTATTCTTTACCAAGAAAGGGGGAGAAAAAATGAACTGCTCTTGAGAAATAATGTGACCTTTCCCTTGCCGACATCGAGACAGAGATTTTGGGGACGGGAGTTTTGTTTGTCTGATGATCCAGGGCTAGAGTGGGCCCCCTGTGTGAAGAGGCGGACCTGCTTGGGTGGAACCAGACTTTGGTGTTGTCTCTGCCACACAGGGATGTGGATTCGCTTCCAGCTCCTCTGCCTGACTTAGAGACCTTTAGCTTCCTTTGGTATTTAAGAAAAAATGTCTTGTTACTAGTTCATGTTTGCAGGACATAATGACCACATTCCTCATGGCGGGTTGGGAGTGGACAGAATACAACTCAATTCCTTTTACTTCCTCTCTCCTCCCTCCATCTCTCGGCCCCTTCCCGTTTGTGGAAGATCTCCCTGTTTCCTTTGGTACTAATGGTGAAAGCTGGTTAAGTCTACAAAAAAGGATAATGAGGAAAATTTTAAACAGACTTATTTTTTAGGAGGTTAGAAAGCTTGCTTCCATTCAGGTAGTGTAGGGAATGACGCTATAAAATAAATAAGGCAACAAATTTAGAAGCTGGTGTCAGTGAAAACACAGGGCCAGAATCAGTTCCATCACTCTGCACCTGCCAGCTACCATCCCTGATGCCTGATCAGTGCCCGGGCACTGGCTGCATATGTGTTCTGTTTTCAAATTTCTTGTCTCATTTGAATCTCTTCAAAGCCCTGTGGAAAAGTAGGCAGTGTTTTTCCATCAGTAATAGGCTTAAGTTATGTTTTCTCATCCGAAGCATCTCCAGTAAGAAACTGGAGAATCCTTTCTGCACTTTGCTCCCAGATGTTGGGCTTCCTCTGAGCTTTGTCTGAGGTTTGGCTATGGCTTCCTTTTCTATGTGGACACAGGAAAGTCCTGACTCTCTTGGGGAGCTCCAGCACTACCTCATGTGCTTTGTAGGCAGGCTTCTGCAGAGACACCAACTTTTTAAAAAAGTCTTTAGGTTACACTTACACTTATATATACAATCAAAGCTGTAAAGGTATGCATGATCATCTATTATTATTCTGTAAGTAGAAATCCCCTTAAAATAAAATGACTTTCCATCAATAGATGAACATGTGCCATATCCATATAGTAGATTAACTCAGCCATAAAAAGGAGTAAAGTACTGATACACACTGCACCATAAATGAGCTTTAAAAACATTATGCTCAGTGAAGGGAGCCAATCAGAGAAAGCCGTGTACCGTGTGATTTCCCGGGTAGGGGATACGCAGGACCGGCACCTTCACTGATACAGAAAGCAGGTAAGACGCTGGCAGTGGCTGGGCTGAGGGAGAACTGGGAAAGGCCGCCCTGTTGGTTGGTACAGGGCTACCTCTGCGGGTGACCGAAATCTCTGGACCTTGATAGGTGATGCATATCCAAGAGTGAAAGTACGCTAACTGCCGCTGAGTTTTATGCTCTATAATGGGCAAAGCGGAAAATTTTATGGTATGTATATTTTATCATAACAAAGAAATAAATGAAGTAGTTCAGGTTAGATTGTTCTGTGATCAGGGAAAGGAGATGGGAATGGGTAGGGAAGAAATGAAAGAAACACACTCGGTTTACAGTGTATGGCCTGTGTTACTGTTTTATTTCATCAAAGTTGCCAAATACTTAGTAAAGAAATCATAATCTAAGCAGTCACAAGTCTGTGCTCACTGTGATTACCACTATATGTAATTCCAGTAGCGTTCACAAAAAAGTCAAGCTTTTCTCTCTCAAGTACCAAATGTTTACAAAAAAATTTTTGTCAACATATTTTTACTATCCTGCTTGTTTCTTTGAGCATTTCTTATATAATCACACTGTTGAATGATGGTTTAGATCTAAAATGTCCCCCCAAAGTCTCATGTGTTTGGGAGGTGATGAGGTCATGGGGTTTTAGTAGCTTAATGAACTACCAGGAGATCCGTCACAGGGGAAAGGGGCATGGCCCGGAAGGGTGTATTGTCCACAGCACTTCTTTTCTCCCTCTACTTCTTGGAGACCATGCAGTAGACAGAATTCCTCTTTCACACTGTTCAATTCCATTCCACTTGTGCCTGGGAGCCAGCTTACCATGCACTACATCCACAGAAACCTTGAGCCAAAATAAGACTCTCCTCCTTTAAACTGCTGGTGTGGGTGTTTTGTCCAAGAGATGAAAAGTGACTATTACATAAATTACCCCCTATTAGATGGTACAACCCACGAAGCCAGCAACTCCGTACCCATGAAGGTGTTGTTCATCTTCACCCTGACTCCATGGTACATGGATGGAACATTCCCTAA